CCTTCTTGGTGTAAGGCGACAGCACTACCTACTGCGCCACTGCGTCGCCATACAACAGTTTATACATACCAAAAAAAAAATATTGGCAGGCATATTTAGAAAATAGTCAACGCAGATGATGACATGAAAAGTTTAAAGATCACAGCGCAGCCTCAAAATACTAATTAAATCTCATTTAAAATCGTTATGCTTTGCTAGTGGTTTTAACCATTAGACAATATATAATAAAAATAAAGGGGGTGATGCAGTGGCGCAGTAGGTAGAGCTGTCGCCTCACAGCAAGAAGGTCACTGGGTCGCTGGTTTGATCCTCGGCTCCATTGGCGTTTCTGTGAGGAGTTTGCATGTTCTCCCTGTGTTCGTGTGGGTTTCCTCTGGGTGCTCCGGTTTCCCCCACAGTCCAAAGACATGCGGTACAGGTGAATTGGGTAGGCTAAATTGTCTATAGTGTATGTGTGTGTGTGTGTGTGTGGATGTTTCCCTGAGATGGGTTGCGGCTGGAAGGGCATCCGCTGCGTAAAACCTATGCTGGATAAGTTGGCGGTTCATTCCACTGTGGCAACGCCAGATTAATAAAGGGACTAAGCCGAAAATGATTTTAATTTGATGCAGACTTAAAAATGGCGAGTTTTGTATACAAAATACAAATTAATTATGCCAGAAAACAGCAGGAATAATACATACAATAATAATGCATAAATTAAAATGGTCTCAGAATGTTAATTAACTTAACTGAGAACTGAATGACATGACAGAGCAAATGTGGCCACTGAAATAGTGTCTGATATATTGGTTCATATCTCTGGATTGAATATGTTGTGAAAGATCTGTTACACTGTAAAACCCAAAGTGAAGGTAACTCAAACCATTTCAGTTCAAAAACTAATGAGTACTGTGAACTTAATCCATTTGAGTGAACGAAGCAATTTGAGCACAGAAAAACCAGATAAATGAAGAGAACTCAAACCATCTGAGTACTGTAAAACCCAATAAGTTAAGGCAACTCAAACCGTTTGAGGAAACCGACTGCTACAAACCATTGAAGTTAAAAAAACTAATCTGTATGAGTACCGTGAACTTACTCCATTTAAGTTTAAATAATGAAGTATTTAATTAACTCATCACCTTTAACACTCTTTTCAAATGAGTAGAATTAACTCTCAGTAAATTTTGAGTTGAATACAGTCATTTCATTTGATAAAGTCGACTGTTGGGTTTTACAATGTATAGATAATATATATATAACGGTAAACAACAAAATACTAAAACAATATGACTCCAGTCAGGTTAGAGACTTCTAAATATGAACAATTATGTTTTCCAGAAAGACTAAACTGCATTTTTTTCTATTTTATTTCTGTTTTTTTTTTTTTTATAAAATGGTTTAAAAACACCTAATGAGATTTCATTGCTAAAAAAGAACGTAATATGTGATAGATATTTATGCCCTTGTTCTCTCAGAGCAGAGAATACTTGATTGTGTGTGTTCTGTCCTGAGGATTCTCCTCATTTAACCGTTTCATTTGTAGTTTTTGTAGTTTTGGCCACAAATCACTTATACTTTCAATATATTTTAATAACTACAGGTCAACTTAAGTTTCATTTGTTACATAAATAGATGTAAACACTTCACTTGCATCAAATATGCATTTTATGTGTATAAAATAAGTTTTGTCAATTTAATTTGATGCAGACTCTAAAATGGCGAGTTTTGCCTTTGACCGATATACAAAGATACAAACTTATTATGCCAGAAACAGCAAGAATAATACATACAATAATAATACGTAATTTCAAACTCTATAAAAAATGGTCTCAAATAAAAACAGATTGTTAATTTTCCTAAAGAGCATTAATTGAACTGAACTGAATTTTACTGTTGAAACGTTCCACATGACAGAGCAAATGTGGCCACTGAAATAGTGTCTGATATTTTGGTTTATAACTCTGGATGATTTAATATGTTGTGAAAGATCTATTAAAGATAATAAGCATTAAATGGTGAACAAGAAAATAGTATAAAACATTATGAATCCAGTCAACTTAGAGACTTCTAAATATAACCAATTATGTTTTACAGAAAGGCTAAACTGCTTTTTTTTCTATTTTTTTTCTATTTTTTTTTTAATAAAAGGGTTTAAAAACACCTAATGAGATTTTATTGTTAAAAAAGAACGTAATATGTGATAGATATTTATGCCTTGTGCTCTCAGAGCAGAGAATACTTGATTGTGTGTGTTCTGTCCTGAGGATTCTCCTCATTTAACCGTTTCATATGTAGTTTTTGTAGTTTTGGCCACAAATCACTTATTCTTTCAATATATTTTAATAAGTACAGGTCAATTTAAGTTTCATTTGTTACATAAATAGATGTAAACACTTCACTTGCATCAAATATGCATTTTATGTGTATAAAAAAAGTTTTGTCAATTTAATTTGATGCAGACTCCAAAATGGCGAGTTTTGCCTTTGACCGATATACAAAGATACAAACTTATTATGCCAGAAACAGCAAGAATAATACATACAATAATATTACATAATTTAAAACTCTATATAAATGGTCTCAAATGAAAAGAGAATGTTAATTTTCCTTAATTAAACTGAACTGAATTTTACTGTTGAAACGTTCCACATGACAGAGCAAATGTGGCCACTGAAATAGTGTCTGATATTTTGGTCTATAACTCTGGATGATGATTGAATATGTTGTGGAAGATCTGTTAAAGATAATAAGCATTAAACAGTGAACAAGAAAATAGTTTAAAACAATATGAATCCAGTCAACTTAGAGACTTCTAAATATTATATTTTCCAGAAATGCCAGACTGCATTTGTTCTATTTAGATTGGGCATTTTTAAATAAAAGGGATAAACACCTAATGAGACTTTATTTTATTGTTAAAAAAGAATATGTGATAGATATTTGTGCCCTCTGCTCTCAGAGCAGAGAATACTTGATTGTGTGTGTTCTGTCCTGAGGATTCTCCTCATTTAGAATCGTTGCATACGTAGTTTTGGCCACAAATGGCCTACTGTTCCTCAAAAATAACACGTCTGCAGGAGAGCTAATATTAGAGAACTGCTGCCACCTTCTGGTGACAGATCACGGTATATTGTTCTCAACTAATATCATGCCAACTTATAAATAATTGTATCCATACAATACTCATACATCAGCGCATGTAAAACAACAAAGTTCATCTCAGAATGCCGGTTGTAGAAAAGGCGAGGATTTTTTTTTAAATATTTATTTTAGGCTTGAACTTTTAATACCGTTAATACAACTTTACTCTAAAAACAGGCTTTATTTTGTTTCTGATTGATTGTGTTTAGTCTCTGCGTCCTCACACCACACAGAGATTAAGGGATCAAAAATAGACGACAGTGTGTCTAAAATAGCTCAGTGAAACATCATTTTCCAATTCGGTCATTGTCATACAGTAGTTTATCTCTCACCAGTTGACATCACTTTGACTTGTGTATGATCTCTTATGCTAGAACTTTGTTTCTGGATTCTTTCGTTTACTCTCTGGCTGTCAGCTTTTCACTGTTTTAGATCTTTGTTTGGAGCAGTATAGAAAACGGTTTGGAAACATTGATGACTGAAGTTAACATGTCAAGACCCAAATGTACCTGAAGACTCATTTAAGTTATTCTATAATAAAATTATATCAGCTCTTACAAACATTATTGTTAAAAAAACATATAACCTGCATATAATTCACATTTAGAAAAGCAGAGGATGCCTAAAAATGATGAATTATGTTTATTGCACAATATAGGCCAGTATAAATGTTCGTTTCAACATGTTTAATAAATGTAATCTATAATATCTGTATGTATATGTATAATATATAATATGTATATATTATTTTATTGAATAACTGTTTAGTTTTAATGTAATTAGATTTAATGAATAATTTTAGAAATGCGGTTTTAGTGTAACAAATAAGTAATTGAATTTTGTTCATTCACACAAATCAGTATTGTTAGTTTTAATTAATTGTGACAAGGTCCTCAGTATTACGTGTCAGTTTTATATATATATATATATATATATATTTGTAACTTAAAATACCTAGAAAGAGGAAATGTAACTCATACACCGTTGCCTATCCTCAGCAGACTGGTGTCAACAGTATTAGATGTTAAGCAGAAGTACTTTTATACATTTACAAAGTATGAGCTTAAACCTGTTTATGACTATACTGCAGTGCAAACACAAACAAAACAATCTGTAAATTAATTCATTATTTTTATAAAATAAATAACTTGTGATTTTTTTTTTTTTTTACTTTTTCCCTATTTGTCTAATTATATTTTTATAGCTTGTTTTGCATTACCTGTTCTCAACATACTGGTGGCTAATTATGAGAATATCCGATTTACAACAACATATGCAAAAATTTTAAGACTTTTTAGACTGCAAACAAAGCATTTTGAAAATATGTATTTTATTGCTATATAATTACACTGATCAGTATAAAACGTCCGGCAGTGTTTTAGTACACATTGATTCACCGAGAAGAGCCGACGACTCATGCGAGTCATTCGTTTGGGACTCGCACTGCGCCAGTCGGTCTGAATGCTGGAGATTCATAACAAAGAACCGACTCATAAGAGCCATCCGTTCAGGGAGCCGAACTGCACTGTTCAGGGTATATTAGTCCGGTTGCAGAATGTACTTCCGTGGATTAATAGCTGGAAAAAAAATATTGTAGCATAAAATATTATTTAGTATTATCAATGTAATCAATTCTCGCTTTTAAATACTTTATAAGGTTAAGATATTAATTAGTTTTTCAGCTTGAAGCTGTTATTCAGAGCCCTGAACGTGCATTATAAGAGCACATCACACAGTCAGCACATAACCAGAAGTTTTGGTCAACAGTGAAAGACGGATCGGCTGGAATCGCGAACTCTATCACGTATGAATCATGTCTTCAAAGAGGGCGCCTTTTCTCCACTTGCTGACGTTTTCTGGCTGTCATGTGATTATACTCAGGGTTCAATGAGAGCTGTTTGCCCCACCCATCTCTTCAACGCTATCTATCTCAATGTACAATTCACTGAGAAAAGGAAATAATCGCTAAAAATATACCCTCGAAAAGGATTCATTCGCCACAATTGGGGATTCAACGCGCTCCGTCCGTAGGGAATCCACCGCTGTCGTTGTGGTATCGGATTTATCTTCACGTATCCAAATGCACATGATCTACCACCCGAATTCAAGAAGGATACAAAGCGTAGCCTGACAGCGGACTCGGACTGCGATAACCGGTAAAAATATCGACGGAATCGGTCGCATTTGCATCTGCGGTTGAAAGAACCGTAAGGATCGCCGCTCGCGTCAAAGCAAAGCCTACGGATGTGAGGAGAAATTCAAATTACAGTAACGGAGAAGACGGCGAAGGGCCTCGTTTGATTTGGACAAGCCGAAAAAAGCGATAAGTCACCATAAGCAGAACAGGAGGGAAAATAGCGTCAATCTGAGGGGAATTTTTCAGCAGCACCACCGTATTTTGCTCGCAGACAACGTCGTTTCGTAACGGAGTTAAAAGGTTCATGTCGGCCACGGCGCAGGGCGGAATGATCCACATGCCGTCATTTTGGTGGAAATATTTATTTTTTTAATTTGTAGCCACCCTTTCTATCTCGTTCTGCCCGTCTCGTTGCATCGGCGAACGGATTCGACAGCAAGCCACCGAAAAGAATCGCGTTTTGTGGAGCTATTCATGATTTTAATAGGAGTCGGTCGTTATTTCGGGAAAGCGACCATGGATTCGCGACGGGAAATCTGCTAAATCGCCGTCGTGGGAAAGCCGAGATCATTCATGTAACGTCGAAGGCTTTTGCTGGATGCACATCCATACACAGAAATCTCTTATTTTATAGTAGCAAGCGCTCGACAGGACTTGGCCGTCTGTAGGCCGGCCTAGTGTTTTCACCACCATCACCACCACCACCTATTCTCGCCAGTACTAGTCACCCAGAGCTTTTTCCTATTTCCCCGTGCTCCCCTGCCCACATCGGCGAAATCCAGGGTAGTTGTGTGCATACACGTATAAATGTCCCGGTTTTCCATCACAGTGTTCTGATCGGAGGCCAATCGAGGGATTTGGATCATTTATTCATTCGGTAGATTCACCTTCCCCTCACCCCACCCCAAAACTTTTCTTGGGTTTTTGGGAAAATGGGTTGTTTGGGCAACAGTAAGACTGAGGACCAGCGAAATGAGGAGAAGGCCCAGCGAGAAGCTAACAAAAAGATAGAGAAGCAGCTCCAGAAAGACAAACAGATCTACAGAGCAACTCATCGACTACTGCTGCTGGGTAGGTTGGTCGCTTGGTCTGAAAAGCTGAGGTTCTGTCACTGCTGCAAACACACACACACTCACACACACACACACACACACTCTTTCCTGATGGACGCTTGTGACTGATGCCCGTGACGTCATCGGGCCTGTCACACGTAGCGTTTGTTGTTTTGTTTGTGCGAATTTGATTCATTTGCGCGAGTACATGATGTAGGTACAAGCGTTTTGCTGGGGATTTCGATGCCGTGCTATAGTGGAGGCCTGTGGTGCTCCGTTTAACGCCGCTCAATCTCTCCATTCATTCGCATCTGATTTATGACGAATGCGTTTTGCATTATGGAAATGTTTGGCCTCACATGATTTAGAAATTCAGTTGTGTTATGGAGATCCATCACTCGTGAGAATAGACTTGCACATGCAGGGCTCTGAGCACATCACAGCTTCTTCAGACTTGTGAGTTTAGGGTTGTTTGTGCATATTGCTAAAGAAACAATGTGCTTATCTCTTTACATGTCATGTAATTATGGGAACATTAGTAAATTAGATGATTACACTTTTTAGTTGAGGCCTTTTTGGTATGCTGTTCAGTATTTTAGAACTACCTCATTTTCTGTCTGCTTGTTTATAGGCATTCAAGACCCATGAAAGGTTGTTTACATAATACTGTTTTATGGTTTATCATTCTAAGTCTCTTCATAATGATAATAGCAAAATATGCCACAGTATTTTTTACATCATACATAATACATATGGAACAGAAACTGATTGGATCATTTGATTCCGTTTCATATGCTTTAAATATAATGTTTTTAATAATATGGGAGTGTCGCACATTGTCAGGACTTGACATGCAGTGATAACCGTTTTCTGGGTTTACTGCAGTTTGGAAAAGTCAAGGTTTTAAAACCACCAAAATGTTCTGCTATACAGTTCCTACGGTATATGTAAGAGATTTATTTGAGTTTCTTTCAGGACTATAATATTTCCAGCAGAAAAGATTTCCAAAGATGTAATTTTAAATTGTAAAGAAATCAATGTTTTTGAAACTAATGAAGACAGCAGAAGTCAATGACTCATTTAAATGATTTAGCCTGACATGTTTACTGCTCCAAAATACTTAAAACGTTTCTCAAAATAAAATAAATTGTGTTCAAAGGGGAAAAAGTTTTTTGTTTTTTACCCAGACGTTTAGCAAGAATATATTTTAGAGCAGTAATCACAATACCGTGATGTTTTTATCCAAGGTTATCATAACCGGCAGAATCTTATGTCTAGTCAGTTCTGAAATTAGCAGGTGGTCAACAAATAAACATTATTTTATTACTATTACTATTATTATTATTATTTAATTCAGAAAATAGTTTGAAATGAAAAATGTACTACTTATTAAACTAGCTTTTTTTTTATCTCTTTGTGGGACCCTGCTCTATAGATTTGTCATTGGTATGGCCAAAGTCTGCAGACATTTTTTTGTTGCTGTTTCTGCGCTGAACTCTGTAAAAAAAAAAAATCTGCAGATTTATGCAAAATTATTTTAAAAGTATTGTAACTAAAAAGTTAATTAATGAAATAAAAATAATACCTTTTTAACTTTAATGTTATCAATGCAAATCCAATTAGATCCACTTTTTTGGTAAACAAAGCAAGTCTCTTATATAATCTATCTACTAAAAGACAGAAAATATTTCTTTACAAACTATATTGTAAATGAATCAAATGAAGATTTTCATATTAGTCAATAATATTACTAAACTTGTTTTTAAAACTCAATAATTATACATTTATACACATTTTGTGTTGTTTTATTTAATTTTATTTTTGTCATTCAAAACATCACAATAAATTGTAATGCTGAACGAAGTTAAGTTGCATCAAACCCAACAAGAACATAAAAAAACATCAAACACTATAAAAACCTAACATAATAAATATGTTTTATAATTTCATACTTTTATTACAATATAGTTATATAAAATATAACCCAATTTAAAAAAAAATCACAGAAGGAAATAAAATAATACCTAAATAACTATTGCACAGTTTGTTATAATAGTTATAATATTAACAATTTGTGCTAGTTTAACAATTTATTGATTTACACAACTAAATAAATACAATCAATGATGGGCTGAAAATCTGAAGATATCTGCTGATTTCTGCAAGCGCAGATTAGGCATGGTCCGGTATAAGTTTTGTGGTTACCTTGTGTGATAACCTTGGATAAAAATATCGCGGTCTTCATTAGTTTCAAAAACACAGATTTATTTACAATTTAAAACAGCATCTTTGGATATTTTTTCAGCTGAAGCTACTGTTGTCCTAAAAAAATGTAAATAAAAAATCTTACACATACCTCAGGAACGGTATTACAGAAAACTTTGCCAGTTTTTAAACCTTGACTTTTCCAAACCACGGTATACCTTGAAAATGGTTATCGTCGCATGCCTAGCACAGATTCCGTATGGACCTAGTCACTGGTATTACTGCCCATTAAAAAAAACAAAAAAAAAACAAACACTACTACTTTGGGCCTGACTTAATCAGTAAGCATTTCAGTTTCATAGACGTGCTGAAGCATGGCATTAAGATGCTTTTGATTTGATTTAGTCTTTGTTTGAAACACTAGTCTCGCTAAGTCTGATAAAACCCTCTTCTCAACACCCTATTTGTTTAGCATGATAGACACATGACATGAAAGTGTCCTATTCGAAATCAAAATCCTGTGTATTCAGCGTAGCAAAGCACTCTAAATCATAATGTCTGGGATTTAAGGAGGAAATGGGTATATTTCTAGATACCCATAATTCAAGTGTGTCATAATAATATATGATTTAGGGATGTGTACCAGTGTAATTGGAGCACAAAAGTGGAATTCCTCAATGCAAACGGGCCTATTTGACACAATTAGAGCCTGGTAACTGAACTTGTTGTAATAAACCGATTCACATCGTAAGCCTGTTTTGGTCTTTCTGCAGTTTGTTCTTGACATCCATGGGGATAAGTTTACTCTCATTTCATATTTAGCGTTTAGAAACTCAAGACGACTGTGCGCCATAAATGTAATAATTGTTCAGTACTGTCAATGTTTAACAACAAGTAGTGTATGACAATAGCTGGTGTTTCCACATACTTCCTCACCAGAATTTTGTTTTGCATTTCACCGTCTGATTTGATGGATATAGCGAGTTACTTTTTAAGTTTGGGCACTGATTGTGACTCTGAAGTGATCATAATGTAATTAAATACTAGAATCAGTCTACATCTCTTTGTTTTACCTGGTGAATTATGGCAACAATTGTTGAGTGTTTATCGAGCATGCTAGTTATTTGGAAACTAGTGGTGAATATTACTTAAATAGTAAAAGATAAAGCTATGATGTTCCTATTTGATAAGAAATTATGACTAAGTTGATATTATTAATGAAAATGTTGAAAGTAGTTACACATTTTAGCAATAATTCAATAATCCCGTTATTAGCTTTAGCATTAATTTTCTGCTAGAGATGAATGTTTAGATTTGCCATTTAAAAGAAAATGCTACTGTGAAATCTAATTAATTATTCTTGTTGAATCAGGTGATATCTGACCCCCCCTCTCCTCCCACATCCCTTGTGATTTATATCTTTCTTTTTGCTCGTCTCTCAGGGGCTGGAGAATCGGGGAAAAGCACCATAGTCAAACAGATGCGCATTTTACATGTCAATGGCTTCAATGCTGAGTAAGTATGGCTTTCTGGATCTATTATTTGATTCTTAAGTCAAATCAAACTAGATTTATTTTAAGTAGCCTATAGTTAAGGATGATATATAGCGTCAAAAACACTGTTTTCATTTGTTGTGCAATTGTGCTGGTGATACAGTTTTGAAATAGTGCTTTCTGGGTGAAGTCCTGCTCTTTTGGGAGGATGTTGATATCGTTGTCATTGTGCTTTTAATGCAGTGGGATGTTACGTTTTTGCTTACTCATAATAACATATTGACTTTATTTCAGTAAGTAATGTTTACTAACATATAAGCAGTTGGTCTGAAACCAGGTTTCTGATTACTGCTCATTTGTTTAATGTAATTAGGGCTGGGCCGATAAACGATGTTATATCGAATTGCGATAATTTATGTCAACAACAATGGTAGACTTTGGACTTTTACACTCTATATTGATCTAAGAGCCTATCACCCTGCTGAAATTTGCAACCACGGGAAGTGTGTTGATATTAGATATAATTTACCGAAAATTTATCGGCCGAAAATATGTCATCTTTTGGATTCTCAAATTTTTGTAGCTTCAGCAGGGTGTCTGCGGGGTCTTAAAAAGTATTAAAAGTTGATAAATCAATTCTGAGAAAATTAAGGCTTTTTGAAGGTATTAAAAAGTCTTAATCACATTTTTACGAGGTCTTAATTTTTGTTCAAGCATGGTCCAAAGTGTTTGACTCCAAAAGAGCATAAATCAGGGCTCAACAATAAGGACTGCCCGGTGGCCCAGGGCCAGTGTGAGAGACGCTTGGGACAGTAGACAGAATCATTACTGGCCCGATTGAGACAGTGCTGCCTTGTCACTAACATTTAATTTGTCTGCGACTATTTGTCAGTTGCGTGCATTTTAAGTTTGTTCTTTTAAGTCTTTAAACACTTCCTTCTCTGTGATGTCATCAAGACCATATTGCTTTTCGTTTCCTCTTATGTGATTTGATGTTTTGAGCATGCTATTTTTTCCGTAACCTGGTCACAACCAATACAGCGAAGAGACGGCAACATGGCGGCAACATCAAATTATAAGGCTAAAAGAAAATGTCTGTTTCTAACATCTTGTGAACAATGAAACAAAAAAATAAATAAAATAAATAAAGTGATGTTTTGCACAGTTTGCCGTCAGTTTGACAAGTCAGCCACCTTTTGTTAAATAATTTCGAACCGCAATAAAATGCCTCCACATTTTCCTCTGCTCTTTTTGTTTGCATAACACTTTTATTAACATGTTTTGAAGTATTGAAATTCTAGGTTCACAGACTTTATTTTTGACACACGGATATTTAAAATATGTGGCTAAAAATAGCTATTAACTTCCCTTTTTTTTGGTGGGGCCAGTGAAAATTGTGGTAGGGCAAGTAAAAATCTGAACCACTGGCCCGATCGGACCAGTAGAAAAAATCTGTAGCGTTGAACCCTGTAAATATATTTATTTTATTCCTAATATTAACAATGACGTGCTCGATCCATGTGATTGGTTCAGGCTGGGGCAGGTCCGCACAAGCTCCTTCGTCTGGGTGATGTCACGTAATTAGCGATAAGTAATAAGTTTGTGCTTTTAAATCTTTAAATGCTACCTTCTCTGTAATGTCGTAAACAACATATTGCTTTCTGATTCGTCTTATCTGATTGATTTGACCATGCTATTTTTTTTTGTAACCTGGTAACAACCAGTACAGCATAGAAACAGCAACATGTTGGCTCAAATTAAAAGGCTAAACAAAAATGTCTGTCTCTAACGTGTTGGAAGTAGACATTTACATGGAAACAACATGACAAAATAATAATGAAGTGATGTTATGCATAGTTTGCCGTCAGTTTGACAAGTCAGCCACCTTTTTAAAAAAAAATAATTTCAAACTGCAATAAAATGCCTCCACATTTTCCATACTGCTCTTTTTGTTTGCATAACACTTATATTTACAATTGTTTTTTAAGTATTGAAATTCTAGATTTACAGACTTTATTTTTGACACATTGTTTAAAATATGTGGTTAAAAATAGCTATTAACTTCCCTTTTTTTTGGTGGGGCCAGTGAAAATTTTGGCAGGGCAAGTAAAAATCTAAACCACTTGCCCGATCGGACCAGTAGAAAAAATCCTTAGCATTGAACCCTGAATATAATCTAGTCCTTGATCAGAATCATAGGGATATTACAGAGTCACATACTATCAGGATTACAGTTAATTAATGATTAAATCAGCAAATCAAGTAATTCTTGCATGAGTAAAATTGCGCTTCAGCAACTAAAACAAAGTTGGTGTTTAGAAAGCAGGAAAGAGTTACTCGAGGGTGGCCTGATATTATATGCTGTGTAATGTTTGATTTCGCTGTACCATTTATGCATATATTTGGTAAATGTTTAACACCTAAACTAAATATTATATTAAATGCATGTAAATTATGTACAGTTACATGCTGTGCAACTTTTTTTAAACAACTCGCCTATCAAGTCAGACTTTAAAGACATTAAGTTTTCATAATGTTAGTTAAACATCTTTCATGTCTTTTAGAATTTTTTATGACGTAAGTATTTGTGTGTTTAATTAATCAGGTTATTCAAGCACAAGCTTCAACAAGTACTATTTAATTAGGACTATTAAATATCAAAGCTTTTTAGTTGAATTTCCAACAAAAATAACTTGTTTTGCTGTAGTATTGTAATGATATTCGAGGTTTCATGCTGCAATATACAAACTTGGTTTGCTTAATTTCTACATTTTACAACGCTGGACACTGCATGTTGCCTCAAAATGAAGAGATCTGAAGTAACCATGTGTTGTTGTTTTTTTACAGAGAGAAAAAACAGAAAATTCAAGACATCAAGAATAATATAAAAGAAGCTATAGAGGTAATTGTTGAAGATTTTATACAATAAAATATAGTAAAATACGGTTTTAGTACTAATAATCTGAAACAAATACGAACAGAAACTCTAAATGGCTTTGTTTTTCCTGCAGACTATTGTGACGGCGATGTCCGTGTTGGTACCTCCAGTCCAGTTAGCCTGTCCAGCAAATAAGTTTCGAATTGACTACATCCTCAACTTAGCCAATCAAAAGGACTTTGAGTTCACAACGGTGAGTATTAAGGTTTTTTGTCACCCCTATGATCCCGGTTTTGGTTTCCAAACCTTCTCAGCTTTATGTTTAGCCTTTTTCATTCCGATGTGGCGTGGAAATGGTTAAGAATCGTGTGTATTAAACGAAAAGCCATTACATGCATCAAATTGTTGTGCAGATTGTTGAGCATGTTCAGATGTCACCACAAGTTGAGTGTTCCCTCAGTTGTAGTGCCTTTTGTGCGGTTATAATTGGCAGCTATTCTTTGCTGTGGGACAACACGTTGGTGAATTGAAAAAGCGCCCCACCTGAGGGAAATGTGGGTGTGTGAACGTGTGACTCTCAGGTATAATGGTGCGGCGTTCATTACGACTGATTACTTGTAATAATCTCTAAACCCTCCCTTAAGAGGGCCTCACCTGAGCCACACAGCTTGTCACCCAGGACCTCCCTGCTCCCTCATCACCCAGACAGGTGCTCTGTGTCTAGGGAAAGGGGAGCGGAGAGCCGCCCTGACCTGCACCAATGGGCCTGCTTAAGATTTAATTACAGGTGACTCAAACATGGTGGCCCTGTGGACTTAAAAATAGGAAGCACAAACGGTTCACTTGCTGTTTTTTAGGTAGTTAGCGTTGCGTAAACGTTACTGTGATTATTTGATTGTGAATACAGTCGGTTGTAATTATTCACAAAGCTGGATGGATGTAGAATAGCGGTTTGGCTAGGTGTAAATTCTTTAGTATGGTTTCAGGATCAGCAGAGGAACTATGTTATTTGGAGTTGATCGTTTACTGTTAAACTTCAGAATCGAGTGCAGGAAGTGTCTGTAGTTTTAGCATTACTACAAAGAAGATACTGCCCCACCCTCCCTCTCTCTCCCTCGGTGGCCCCAGGGCCCGCTGGGAACCAGTCTGACTGGTTGATTGTGTTGCAAGCGAAAAGACAAAAATAAAAAAAGCAAAAGCAATTATTGACATTTATAACTCCGTAAAGCCAATTTAGGATATAAAGACCCATTGAAGTTTATAGATGAAGACTATTTCTGCACTGTTTGTATGGACAAGTTGAAATATTTCTTTAAAAAAAGAATTGAAGCGATGAAGCGAGACGGAAGCTGGCGATAAGTACAGGCATAACTATTTTCGAGTGGAGAGAAAGACAGATGTAGACGAGATGATTGATTTTTCATGTTCTTTTATTTTCAATTTTAGCAGTTTTCATTAATATAATAAAAAAGCAGTTTTAACTAAATTGTTTCAATCAATCATTTCAGTTTGAACTAATTGAAAACATTCAAATTAATTAAGATGACCAACTGTTTTAACTTTAGTTTAAATTTGAGGTTGTAAAATGCCCTATACTTGTAACCTATAGACTATTTTGAGGCATGTAAACAACAACAGCGGTCCCCACGTTTCTTCTGTTTACATTTTTAATTTCTGTAGCTTCAGACAATTCAAAAAGAGATAAATTATTGATAAATGATGTTATGATAGCTGTTTTAAAATGAAGTTATGATTGAATCGCCTCTTGTTACAGTTATGAAATAGTTTGATAAGCAGGAAATGTTCATGAGCCAATGAGATGACCACATTGAAATGGTCTATATGTTGTTCGTACATTAAGTAATTAATTTAAAGATAATGAATGTTCATTATATTATGTATGTTGTAGAAGAAACATTTTGAATGTATATAATTATAAAAGTTTGTTTCAAGAACGTCCTGTTTTTGTCTTTTAAAAGCTACCATCTGCTGTACCTCACTTATGCTGTTTACTTTTTATTATCTTATGTTACTTAATTGATATTACTTACTGTATTATAATTTCTACAAATTTTGTGTCACTTTTATTTTACAATGTCCATGTTACATGTACGTACTGTTGTAACATCTTCAAATAATGCATAGTTGGATTAAAAACCAACCCAGAACCAAACGTCTAGCTAACCTTATTTTCAGTCAAGTAAATACATGTTGTTAATTAACATTACTCAGTGCTTAAATGTATAATTACACAGTAAAAGGACACTGTAAAATAAAGTGTAACCAATTTTTGTTCATTGTTTGGTTTGCTAAAGTTTCTCTATAATTATTACAATAATGTATAATAATATGATTGTGTGTGCGTTTAAATAAAATAGGTAAAAAATAAATGGAGGCCTCTAATTCTCTCATCTGATCTGTAACTAGTGTGTTTTGTGTCTATAAATGCATGCATTTATTTTTAATAATTTATTAGCACATGTAACGTGTGTCAAATATATCTCAATATACTGTTATGATTCAAAAATCCATATATTTGTATGTTAAAAAGAGAAATGTAAGGTGCAGTGAAGTTGGTGGGTGGCGTGATCCTGAAGTGTGTGGCTTTTGTCCTACACATTTAACAGAGTAGTGGCACTTTTTTTTTTTTTTTTTTTTTTTGAAGAAGCTGTGCCAAATTGAAAGCAACCATTTCTTAACATATAAGCTTAAAGATCTGGCGAGGCAAATATTCTTTCCATGTCAGGAATATTTAGTCCTGTGTATTGTGAACCAGTCCATTTGCTGTTCAGGCTCATGCTGCAACATATAAACGGTTTAGCGAGGTGAGACCATTCTGTCTGTGTCTCTCGTCATGTTGTATTTGCTCACATTGGAAGTTTCTCATTTCTAACGCTTGTTCATGCTTCACCACCATGTCTGGATTGCAGTGGGCGGTCAGAATTCTTTAGTTCTGTGTTGAACTCTTCTTTAAATGTGGCTTTTGTTATGCATAAAGTGCATATGTTGTTTTTTTTTTCTTTCTTTATATATTTATATATTTATATATATATATATATATATATATATATATATATATATATATATATATATATATATATATATATATATATATATATATATATATTTGTGTATATATGTGTGTGTGTGTGTGTGTGTATTACATGTTTTCAGAAAAAGTGACAGGACAAGTTGCACAATGAGAACATTTCTATGTTTTTTTTTTCTTGGTATTATTGCATACTAAATATGTCCAATTTCTTGGCTTAAGGTTTAATTCTATCTTAAGAGAAATTCTTTAATTATTATTTTATATATACATGCATACATGCATGCATGCATACATACACACATACATACACACACACATACATGCATACATACACACACACATACATGCATACATACACACATACATACACACACACATACATGCATACATACACACACACATACATGCATACATACACACATACCCACATACAAACACACACACCAGTGCTTCCCATAGGTTTGAAATATACTTGTGGTGGTAGCTGGATTGAAACACCATTTACCCACATCACATAAATAGTTATCTATATGCGACAAACAAAACATAATTACATTTTTAACAATAATTTTATTTATTATTACTTTCAAGTTCAAAGCAAACGTGAATGCCAAAGCATTTTAGATAGAAAATAGCCTATGTGATATAGCCTACTGACATCATCAAATTAATATTATATACTGCAAATGAGAAATAAATGACAGAAAAAGGAGTTTGAGACAGTGTCTCAAAATGATAACAAATACAAGATTAAAACGTGTAGATTATTTAAATAAGGCAAATGCGTTGATTTAACTATTTGTGTACAGATATATTGCAGCCAGTTTAGACCAGCTATTTCGTCCTCTCTGAGTAAATAGTAAAGTTTTTCTGAGTCGTTTATATTCAAGTATGAATTATTTAATGTTTTTCTCACTCTCGCGACTGTACGCAGTCAGTTGTACAGCCAAGCGAAAGTAGGCTTGAGTAAAAAGGTACTTAACTGAACAACAGCTCGCAAAGCAAAAGCTGAATCCCGAACATTTTAGGAAATTTAGAAACTCTGTCGGACAAATTGAAGTGTCAAAAAGGCGTGTCTCTGGGGGTCTGCAAAGCACGAGAGACTGTATGTTAGAGTGTTGACAGGTCTCACACACACAAAACGAAACGGATAAATGAGAGAGGTTTTTACACTACTTAATGGATCGTGGATGTTTGGTTATATTAGGCGAATACAATATAATGTAAAAGGATGATGATAATAGTAAAAAACAAAACGTGTCACTAAATGTACTTGAGTGGTCGTTAATATACTAAGGCGGTTCACCCAATAAAGTGTGTGGGAAGCACTTGGATCTATTTATATTATTGTTTTGTCAAAACTAGGGTTGCACGATATATGTTGCTTCAGCATCGATATCGCAATGTGTGCATCCGCAATACTCGCATCACAGGATCTGCAATGTCAAATCAAAATTATAGTTACCAGGAGCCATAGTTGGTTTGTGGAGTCATTGCAAATTTTAACCAAAAATTACCAAAAACTTTAGCATTTGCATTTGTTTTTAATGTCTGTCACTGTGTGAGAATTTGATTTAAGTAACTTTAAAAAAGATTATAGCATTTATGTACATATACAATGAAGAAAAAACAGTGTTTTACTTTTGCAATTTGGTATACCTTTATAGAATAATAAGGAATGTTTAATTTGTAACTTTGCTCTACTGTATTTAACAACACTGTAAATAATGCTGGGTTCCAGACAATCGATGTGTGTTGAGACAACATGTTGGAATTAATTTAACTTATTAGATTATTCAAATTTAAGTTGATTAAACATAGAAAAATTAAAGGCTGATTTATACTTCTGCATCAAGCGCAAGCGTATGCTCCGGCGCAACCTTTGACCACACTTCGTTATTATTGTTCATTTATTCGTTTGCTAGAAAGTAGAACTGAATTTAGAAACAGTTTTGAAACAAATCTTTGTGCTTAATCAACGAAATTAAATATTTATAGGCTAGTTGATGTCTGTGCGTCCAAGGTTTCCCTGTCCACGAGAGCGAAAGTGAAAGTAATTATGAGATGCCTTATCTTTCATTCTCGCGCTGTAGATGCTCTGTTTAACTGTTTTCTTGCTAGTGAAAAACTCAGTTATTCCACTTCCATTTACTTTACGTCATGTAAATAGCAAATTTGCTTATGGCGCGAAGCAACTAGCTCTTTAAGGGAATGGGAGATGAGACTCTGATTGGTTTTTTCCTAAAACACATCTTGAACTCAAAAAGAAAATAAACTCAACCCTTTTAGACCATGCGCCACGACGCAAAGCGGATTTTTCCGTCTTGATATTAGCAAAAATGTATTCTGACACGCCCTGAAGGCATTTGCGCCCTGCGCTTTGCGCATGGATCGTCAAAATAGAGCCCGATGATCTCCCCTACAAAACAATCCCAATCAATCTAAAATTATGAATTCTTTCCAAATGGAGCTTTTTATTTAATCTGGTAGAATTGTACTCAGTATCGCAATATGTATCGCAGAAAAATGAAATATTGCAATGGAAGCTTTTTCCAATATCGTGCAGCCCTAATCGAAACTAAATTTGCTTAAATCTGGCTTTTAACTATTAAGGAATCAAAAAAATATTGTCCAATTTTAATCTGAATGTGAAGCAAAATCTGGTATCCTTCTGTGTAAAAGTTTAAAAATGAAATATTTTTTTTATAATAAGAATAATAATTTTAATTTTAATATATTTATTTATTGTAGTCAAAAGCGTCTTTGCAAACCAAATAAACATGTTGACAAAATGAGCAAACTACAGAGGTGTAAAAGATTCTGACAGCTAATTTAAGGGCTTGTCCTCTCTTCCACTTGTCTTCCCAACAGGAATTTTATGAACACACAAAAACCCTGTGGCAGGATGAAGGGGTGAAAGCTTGCTTCGAAAGATCCAACGAATATCAACTGATCGACTGCGCGCAGTAGTGAGTATTCTGTTCATTCTGAATGCTGGATTTACTTTAACTGTGCAGTGTTTTGCTAATACAGGCAATTTCAGTAACATTGGAATCTTCTTGTAACAGTTGGTCAGATTGGTTGCTCTCGGGCTGAAGCTGTTTTTGTGTGACATTCCCAGCACACTGCATGTTTCAGACTGATTTATGCACACAATTGAGAGGGAAATCAGAAATGCGATGAGCTAGTGCTAGACGCTTCATGTTGACTATACGGGGAAAGGTTGTGCAGTATATGTGTGTGTCCTGTCTTCTCCCACAGCCACTGGTGGTTGTTGTGGATCAGACGCTGGCCTGAGCCGTTTAGACCGGAAGTGGCCCCCCTCCACTGCTCCCCGCTGCACGCTTATGTAAACGTAGAGCGGAGAGAGAGAGAGAGCTATTTTTAACTCGCTGGTTCACTCACTCGCAGCAGAAGTAGACTGTATCAGAGAGAGAGGCGATCCGCAAGTATCGCAAATAATGCATCTCCCTTTTAAAGAAAAAGAAATGAGCTTGAAGTGATAATGGTGGACACTTTGGAGGATTTGCAGGGCAACTCCCAGCCTGCGAAGAGGGACGGAGGAGAATGACGGTGCTTTTTCAAGCGCGCACACGCACATACACGCGTTCGACAAGAACCGTGCGTCGTCAATTGCTAATCCTGTTATGAGCTCATTTTTCTGTCTGAGTGTTATCAAGGCTCTTCCTGTCACATGGCCAGGTGTCCATATTGTACGTGTGCGTGTGTATTCGCTTTCATTCATCTGGGTTTCTTTGTACGTCGGAGCTGCAGCGGTATTGTGGGCTCAATAATGCTGTCATAGATGCCGAGACGAACACTAAAATGAGTACGCAACAACGCATCTCTATTTGTTTTTGTTCATCCTGCATGTTTTTTTTCCCTCTCCTGACTAGTTCTTCCTACATCTGCTGGTAGCGTCACTGCAGTACCAGAAAATGGCTGAGATCTAAAAAAAAAAAGCAATGACAATAGTTTGATCAGGGTTATACTGTTTCCATTGGAAATTGAAGATTATTAAAGATTACACTGATGAAATCAAAGCAAATCTTCTGTATTTGTTGTAAATCTTAGAAGAGAAAGCATTTGTTTGGGGCTGCGGTGTTTTTATGGCAAGCATGTGTAATTATAAAGCAATATGTTCTGTTGTTTTGTGAGACGAGTTATTTTCATAAACTAAATAAACATTGAGTGTTTACATGAACACCAATAATCTGATTCTAATGTGATTAAGACAATACACTGATTAAGAGTAGGCCTGTCACGATATCTATTTTTCTTTGTACGATATAGTGCACCAAAATATAAGTTCATAAATGATATTATTTTTATTTTATGCCACTCACTTTATAATGCCAGAATGACAATATAATAGCATCATAATGCAAGTATGCTCTGTCAAAGAACACAGTAGCCCCTTTCACACATACAGGTCTGTGCGTGCGAACAGGCCTTTTTTGAAAATACTGGTAAATTCAGTCCGGCTATTTTCCAGAAAGAGAAGTTGTAACATTACCGGTAATTTGCCGGAATGCTGTGCTGTGTGAACGCAGAAGGAAAATCGCCGGAAGAAGCGCGTTCATATCTAAAACGTGCTGACGTAAGACGTCTACTTTAGCCAGTCAGAACATTCACGTCCACTCAGTTTATGAGAATGAAAGCCTGTGAATTTATTTCCAGACACATTTAGCTGCTAGATGTTAGTCAGTAGGGTTGGGCGATGTTGACCAATTTGGCATCGTACAATGTCTAATGTGAAACATCGCAATGGACGATGCCTTCATTGTCATAGGCAGGGGTGGTTGTTAAATATCAATTAATTCATAATGATTTAGTTAATTGTAGCCTACCGTTTTCTCTACCTGACCCACATGGTCTTTGCTTTACTCATGACAAACCATAAATAAATAAAGTTGCAAACAAATGACCACCTGTCAATCACTTTTTTTCCGCGGGACTCTGGCATGAATAGGCACAGTGATGTGTCGTTCTAATGGCTTTTCCCACAGCTGGTGGAGGAGATGAGAGTTCGGTTGGAGTTCACTGTAGTGCATACATTTTCATTGTTTTCACTGCAAAACCCTCACCGCGTGCGCGGCTTTAGGAGACATTTGTGCAGAATGCATCTTTGCACCTAAAAACGCCAAATGCAGCACTCAGGAATAGATGAACAGTTGTTATGTGAACTTGCTTAAGTAAAAATGGCCGCAATGCTTTCCCTGCCTTTGTGGTCTTCTTATTGGCCCACTGGTCTAACTGAGCGCGAATTATTGGTTAATATCAGCCGTCAATCACTCAGTCAATTCCTTCTGCCTTCAGACGACAGGAGCTACAACCGCAAAAATGTGAAGCGCTGAAGATGAGAGAATGAAAATAACACTGACAGGTGACTAGTGGAATTTCGATGAATTGCAGTTTCAGTTACTTCTGTATTTGCTTCACAAGGGAGAGCGGGAGATTGCCGCTTGAATTAAACAAAACTCAAATTACAACTTGTGGAGTATGCCGATTTCATCGTCGCATTATTGGAGTACAGACATGTAAACACCTCAATCAAACTATTACCTGCATGTAGGATTTTCACCGCATTTTGCAGCAGGATAGTCTGCAAACACACGGCTGTTTGACACTATTCTCTGCACCTATCAAGTCAGTGAAGAACTTCAGACACCTGCATTGCAAAATGCGGAGGTTTTTTCCCCCATATGGCATGCTGTATAACATTCCATTAAAACAACACTCTTCCAGCAGTTCACACTCTCATTCAATATCTTGTTTGTTATGGGGGTAGGGCTGTGTGACTAATCGAAATCTAATCTCAAGAGGCTGCAATATGAAACATATTATTTAACTTCCTCACCCGGAGCAAATGCGTGTCTGCCGTCTGTGTGACAGGCTTGGGGTGCTTTCACACCTAGACTTTTGTTTCGGAACCTGTCTCGTTTGCCCAGTTAGCGCAGTTCGTTTGGCATATGTGAATCCAGCAATCGCACTCGGATCCGCGCCACAACAATCGGTCTGAGATCGCCTGAGTGAGGTGGACTTGGCTCGGTTTAAACGAACTCTGGAGCGGATCAATTGTGTTGAAAAAGCCATATGATCCGAGCTTTGCTATATCACAGTGTTTTATGGATATGTAATAGGCATACGACTATATGAAGAGAGAATTATGAGTAGGGCGGGAGGTCAGTCTAGACATCCCAAGTATCCCAAAGTTCCCTTAGTCTCCTGCAAATGCACCGAGACTCCCGCATGTCCGCAAACAAGTGATAATTTCCTGGAAATCGTGCGACTCCCTCCTGGTCTTCAAATATGTCGCGCACCCTTCTCACGTCAGCATCCCTCTTCGCTCTTCAGACATGTCGCGTGCACCCTGTGACAGCTGAGCGGGACTGCAAAATAAACCGTGAAATTCTGACCAATGTGAGGAGAGTTTACTCACATGACTTTCTTTTTAGCTATTTTGGTCCATTTAGATCCTTTGCCGTGTAAAAGCGAACCGCACCAAGAGCAAAAGAGCAACAATTTAACAATTTTAATCCCTGTTTCGGAGCAACTAAATCGATTCACAAGTGTGAAAGCACCCTTACTAGGCAATTGAGTGTGCACACTTTTGTTCTGCCCTATCAGAATTACACAACTAAACTATGCAGAAGATCAACATTAAAAAACAAACAAACAGGAAAGTCCGAACGAGTGGGATAATGGCATCTGCCGCTTCAGAAGCATTAATAGACTAAGTAATACCTAAGAAAAACAGCATGTCGGTAATATGGGATTCTCTTAATTTCAAAGTCACAGACACGAAACAAAACCCAGGTCATTTGTAACAGCTGTCGTAGAATTGTTGCCACAACAAGAGGAAACACGACAACCAGCACCTAAAAAAGCACCACAGGTAGCTATATGAGAAGCGTATTGCTAAAAAGCAAATGAAAAGTATTGCCACTGACACTCAATCTAATAGCAAGCAACAGCAAAATACAATTTCAGAGTTGTTTGCTAATATAAGTTGAAATTTTCAGTTCCACTCACTTCATTTTAGCAGTAAGAAAGTGTGATACAGATTATTGAGCTGAAGCTTGACTACAAAATGAAATCACAAATCAAATCGAAATCGCAATATCTGTCAGAAAAAGTGCAATTAGATATTTTCCCTGAATCGCACAGCCCTAACAGGGGGCATGCATCAAATGTTCCTGAATGAAAGTGAAAGTGCCAAACTGCAGTTAAAGTCGACAAATTAAAAGCGAAACACCAGAAATGGCATGAAAATCCAGAGGAAATGTGGATATCGCGGTGATGCAATGATGTTAATTGAATTATGTGCTATAACATGTAAAACTGGATCATGAAAGGAAAAAGTAACTCATGTAAACACCTTAATCATAGTATTGTCTTAGTCGGATTAAGGCAAATAATTTGATTACTGTTGTTCATGTAAACGTAGTCGGTGTATTTCTTTTTTTTTTTTTTTGCGGAAATCCACTATGGAAAAAAAGAAGAAATGCTTCTTTGATGTTATCTGTGAGCTCTCTATATTTCCATAAAACAGAGAAATGCTGTGTTCCTCCCTTTTTGCAAATGCAAATCAAGTGCATGATTTAAAAAAATTCCTGACAAAGGTCTCATGACTGAAACGTTGCTATCTCAGTAAATATTGGATTTCTCGCAGGATACAGCAGTATGCAGTTTTTTTTTCTCTTATGCATTATGTCCTCTATCCAACGCACCTGCCTGCTACCATTCAGGTGTGCGAGAGATGTTTGACTACAGACAAAAGACATTTTTCTTTACCATACAGTTAATACACAAATGTGTGAAACACTGGCAGTATTTAGGGACCGAGCACCGAAACGGTGCGTAGGCCCTATTGGAATTGCTCCGTTTATTATTATTATTAGGGACCGAGCACCGAACGGTGCAAGGCCCTATTGGAATTGCTCCGTTTATTATTATTATTATTCTT